ATATTGGTCGAATCTTTGGGAGGGAAACACAACAGCCACTCGGTCTTTTTGATGTTATAAACATTATAAAAACAACCCAGAATATTTTAATAGCAAAAAAATAGGAAATTTAGAGGAAAAAAATAAACAAAGCTCATTAAACTTCTAGGGCACTAAATGTAGCTGACATTTGGAAGAGTGAATCAATGCATTCTATTCTCATTTGATTTTTAATCAGATTCAAAAACAAAGCATGAAATGTTTGTTCAAATCATACTTTCAACAAAATTGGGCAATGCATTGTATGATCTCATTTCAACTTCTAAAAAAACTTCGTGTTAAGAACAATCATATAAAGGTGTAATTTCAGAATTAAATAAATTTAACATTTGCAATGTGAATCTATTTAACTTTATCATCTATCTGTCTTTCTGTCTGTCTGTCCATCCACCTGTCCATCCTTGCATCCATCCATCCTCTATATATATTTTCTGACTTATAAATATAGGTATCAGCCTTATTTACTTAAGGAAGAACAACAAAAATCACTATGATTTGTCATGGTTTCTCTGACTTACTTAGCACTCAAATGTGTTCTGTTGATGGAAATTTTATCAACAGCAGAAGAAACAATCAGGGAATGGGCTAATTCAATCTGCTCTGGTATTTGCTATCCTTGTGGATGATATGATTGGATGAGATCTAACCTAATTATTTAGCTAATAGCAGTCTTTCATGCCAGAACTAGTAAATTAGGATGATTGGAAAGGAGATCAGAAGGAGGTGAGGTAGCCAAAGAAAAATAATGGAGATTCATACTAAGGCATTCCCAATCAGAAACAGATAAGTTGGAGAAGGCAGAGACATTGCTGGTGAAATGGGACTTACACATGGATGAAGATCAGGCTGTTACTACCAAATACCAGATCTAGTAAGGATCAGTAAATATGCATTACTAGCCTGAACAGCATCAGTGATGCTGTCCTTTTAGATATGTGCCCTGCTTGATTTCTGATCCTGAAGCAGTTGCGGTGCCAAGATCAAGGAGGAAAGGATCCTGCAATTGTATATGAATCCTTTTAGATTCATAGCTAACAAAGGTAGGTGGCAGCTTAGCTCCGTTTGGTATGTGATTTACATCCCTTTTTGGATCTGAAGTCTCTTTAGTAATCTCATGGCTCAGCTAATGCTGTATATAGGCTGCCCTTGAAAATCACTTGAAATTTTTAACTAGTCCACAATATAAAAGACAGTGATGCTTAATATGTTTACATGGCATTTCTGCTTTGTTACTTAAACTGCCTGTTTTCCAAAGCACCAGAAGGCAAGACAAGAAGCAATGGATGGAAACTAATCAAGGAGAGATGCAATCTGGAACTCAGGAGAAATTTTTTGACAGTAAGAACAATTAACCAATTGAATGGCTTGCCTTCAGAAATTGTGGGTGTTCCATCACTGGAGACCTTTAGGAAAATAATGGACAGCCATTTGTCTGAAACGTATAGGCTGTCCTGCTTGAGCAGAGGGTTGGACTAGAAGGTCTCCAAGGCCCCTTCCAAATCTGGACATCTAGATGCATTCCATGTAGGATTCAGGCCCAGGCATGAGATAGAAATAACATTGGATACTCTGGTCAATAACCTTCATGAAATTTGGATGATTCCATTCAGTAGCAACTGAGCCCATGGATTTTCCAACGTGAAATTTCATAAAACTTTTTCTTTTCCTCCAAGTTATTTAACATCTATATAGGATGATTGGGACAGATCACCCACTGATTTGATGTAAGATATGATCAGTAGATTGCACACCCACAGAAACATAAGGCCACACAGTCTGAGGAAAAAGCACTCATACACATAAACATAATTTGAGTATTTGAGTATTTATTAATACTTATAGGCCGCCCTTTTCCCTGNTTACACCTATCCTCCGTGACTGCATTGGCTTCCTATTGGTCTCTGAACGTGATTCAAGGTGCTGGTTATTACCTTTAAAACCCTACATGACCTAGGACCTGGATATCTGCGAGACCATCTTCTGCCGCATACCTCCCAACGGCCAATAAGATCACACAGGGTGGGCCTTCTCCAGGTGTTGTCAGCCAGACAATGTCGGCTGGCGGCTCCCCGGGGAAGGGCCTTCTCTGAAGCCGCCCCGACTGTATGGAATGAACTACCCCCAGAGATCTGGACCCTACCCACTCTCATGGCCTTCCAAAAGGCTATCAAAACCTGGCTATTCCGGCAGGCCTGGTGGCTGTTGACCTCATGACTGAGGTCCAGCCTCACTAGATTGGGTGCTTGATGTGGTTTTTAATCTGTTTTCCTGTTTTTTTTAATTCTTTATTTTTTTAAAATTTATTTTCTGTAAGCCACCCGGAGTCCTTCGGGATTGGGCGGCCTATAAATTTAATAAATACAAATACAAATACAAACTATACAAGATACAAAACTTAAATATTGAAATAATGTTATAATTTTGAACAGAGAGCTGACAAGTAAAAGCATTACAAAATGAATTTCTATAAAATATCAATAAGGAAGTGGATAAATATTTAACTTGGCAATAACTTACAACTGGAATGTTATAAACAGAAACCATAAGATTGATTTTGGCTATTCAAGAAACAGCTATTCAAACCAACCCAATCAAGGACAAAATTGAGAAAAAAAATCATTTTTGCACAGTTTAAAAGTGCAAAGAAGCAGAAGAAACAGTAAACTTAATTCATAGAAATAATACATTAAGCATAATAACATGTTCAAATTTTAAAAACATGTATGGTTCATTTCTGAATCATGATTCAGTTTTGGGAAGCAGAAAACAAGTTTTCAGTTCTGCACATGATTATGCAATTCATTTTTTTCCCCAGAAAAGATTTCTGTTCAAATTACAAAGTTGTTTTTTCATGCTAGTGTTAACAAATGTATTAAAGAAAACATTAGAAAAAGTATTATTTCTTAAAAGTACTTGTAAGCATTTTTTTTCCTTTTTAAATGAACAACGTGGATGTACTATTCCTTGTAAATTCAGACTTCCTTATTACTTAAAGATAGATTTAATTCTGCCTTTTTAGTTCATGCCACTGTTTCTATACTATAATCAATATTATTAATTCAATTAATAAAGATCATTATGGGAGGCAGCATGAAGGCTTAAGTCCCACTTACAGTTATGGCATGTGGCTCCACTGTATCCAGTTCCATCACAGGTGCAACTGAAGCTATCCCATGTTTGGGTACACTTCCCTCCATGCTCACAGTGATTGGGCACACACCTGTTGAGATATGAAGCAATGACAAATAAGCAAGGTTGAATGAGAGCCTGCATTCTGAGATTGCCAAGCAGCAAAACCTCCTGTGCCAATCGGCTGTACTACTGCAATTAATCTTTGTTAGCTTTATGTGAATTAATATAATTCATGATAGAACATGGCAGGTGCATAAGAAGTTGATGTATTGTGCAATGAATGCCCCATTCACAGCTAACAATGGGTCAATGACAGAGAAGGAGACTGAAGAGATAATGATGGATTATGGATTTTTTGACACTGTTACATTTTTAAAGGTCACAAACACACCTATTTTTTTAAACAGGCAATTAGATATAGTATGGAAGTAATGTTAATTTTCAATAGAAATTGTACTCCAGTATGCATTTAAATCTTTTTAACAACATTTTTTTAGAAAAACTCCTTTTACTTTAGTCTAATAATCTAAAAGGAAACCATAATTTATGTCATTAAAAGCAGTGAGAATGATGCTAGATTGCCCTAGTTTAGATCATTGAAAGGCATGTTTTGAAAGATCATGAACAAGTTAGCCTCCTTTAATTGCCTCTCAAAAAATCCTAGTTTCATAAACTTCTCTTTTTCTCTTAATAGTTGGGAGATAACTGTTTGTCTGCCATTTTGACAAAGCCAAATTGATCTTGGGTTTTGTGGTGCTTCTTTGTCATCACATATATGTTGGTGGCATACTACCATAAAAGTACATGCATTCATGAATTAAGTTATAAAGCATGCACAAGTGTTAACAGAATAACAGAATTGGAAGGGAACATGGAGGTCATCAAATCCAATCCCACTCAAGCAGGAGATGCTATATCATTCCAGACAAGTGGCTATCAAGTCTCTTAAAAGTTCTACTATAATTTCCAGTGTGCACTTTACTTGAGTATTTTTTATCTCATGACTTTTATTGTTTTATCAATGTATAAAATGCAAATAAAAATGGGAAATCAAGGGAAGGAAAAAGAGAGGGGGAAGAAAATAAGAGGGAAGAAAGAAAGAAAATATTGACTTCTGATCCTTTTTAGCACAGTACAAAATAACAAAATTACAGCTCAACTTTTTAACTTTTACATTAGTATATAACAGTGATGGCTAACCTTTTCCAGACCAAGTGCCCCAAGCGCACAAATGCCCAAAATACAACGCATGCATGCCCCCCACATGTGCCTCACCCAACACATGTGCAGATGCCTCCCATATTCCACCCACACTCACACATGATATGCAGCCCCCTTGCATGGCCCCTGCCCCAACACATGCGCAGCAGAGACCGACAACCACCTGGCCAACAGGAGGCACATGTGCATGTTTGGCGGAACCGAACTGGGGTGACTGTCCGTATGCCCACAGAGAGGGCACTGCGTGTCACCTGTGGCACACGTTCCATAGGTTTGCCATCATGGGTATATAACTAGTCATTTCAATAATAACAAATCTATCTAATGGGCAAAACCAAAGTCAATGTTTCATTTTTTTTCATCACAAACACAAAATCGAGGAGTGATATCCAAATAAGAAACATAATTAAATATATTCTCCTCTTTGAATAAAACAATCTAACCATTTCTGCTTTATCTTTCCTGTTGTGGAAATAGTATATATTCATATTTGCACTTAATAATCTTTATAAACTATCACAATTTATATTAATAAAATCCATTGTATTCTTTCAAATTCTTTAACCTTAAACAGAAAAATACTTTTTAAATTCATTTTAAAACATTACACTTTTCTTTTAAATAATACTAAATCAAAACATTCTAATGCATCTGTTTTTAAACTTCATATTAACTTATATACTTTAGAGTTTACTTTCAGACCAATAAAATTCCAAATAACTCCAATTAACTTATTAAACTCCCTCCAAGTTACCCTCATAGAATAACTTTTTCTTCTTTCTAAGACTCTAAAGTTTTCTTTAATACATCTTTTCTCTTAACAAAGATACTTTCAAATACATTTTCAATATTTTACAAACTTTAGGAATTACTTAAACATTATATATAAAGGAAAAATACATTTTCAAACTTTAGATTAAGACTTTCTTTCAATTACAAATATCACATTCCAATTGATTCATTAAGTTTAAGTCAATCCTTCCAGATTGTCTTCCTTGAATAAAACCTTTTTTTCAATTGTATTGGGAGATTTATATTTAAACCATAACTGACTCCTCTGCTTTGTCAGCTACTTATGAAATTGCTTTGGTGGTTTGGTAACTTTCTATACCTATTTGCATCTGTGAAGTAGTTTGAGGAGTTTTTTTTAATCATCCTTTGAGTATAACTGATCTATGAACTGATGGATTTTATTTAAAGATCTTTCAAAAATAACTCTAGTAATTTGCTCCTCCATCTTCTTAACTCCCTCTTTAGTCAAAGAGTAGTATTTTTTGTAAGTCACTTAAGAATTGCTGACCAGAAATAATAAAAATCCACAGTGAAGCTGACTAAGGTATAAATTACTAAAAATAATAAACTAGAACCATGACTTTATACCCTTACATTTCTCCATCAATCTTTAAAAAAAAGATACTCCCCACTTCCTTATTTTAGCTTGCCTTCAGCAGTCTTTTCCTTGTTGTTTAACAATGAAGAAATCCCCAAAATGGTAAAGAATGATAACTGTAAAGAAGAATACCAATTATGTGAATGTATACTTAAAATGGTGTGCAAGAGAATAAAAAATAAACATTCTTTGGGGGGAAAAATCCCCCAAATGGTCCAGATTTTCAAAATGGAATAAGAGGCTGTGGCTAAAGAGAGCTTCTTTTAGTTTAATAAAAAATATTAATGCTTAAAAATGATTAAGAAATGAAAGAGGCAACTTACTGTCCATTTGAAAAATAAATTCCAAAATGACTGCTTCAACAATGAACCCCCAGTTTTCCGCATGCAGGCTGCTTCAAAACACAGCTTCCTTTCGTGTATCGGAGGATTTTGTGGGATAATTCTAAGACATTCCTAAAACAAGAAGAGTCATATAAACTAAAGATGCTAGATCCTTCCATTGTTAGGTTGAAACAACTACAGTTCAGGGGGAAAGCCTTCAGGGATTATTCCTGTCAACTGGCCATCTTTTCACTGGAAGTCTGTAGCTTATTTAGTACAGTGGTCGGTTCCGGATCCCGTTGCAACTGCTATGGTTGCAATGGGCCTGGCGTCCTCCACATGAATGCACACAGTGCATGCGCACACATGCACAGTGCATGCATGCATCCTACCTTCCAGCGACGCATCTGTGAACCTCCGTGACGTTCCAGCTGCTCAGCAGAGCATCATGCAGGCGCTGTACATGCCATGTGCGTGCACAGAAGCGCAGAAGACTTTAAAAACAGGTAAGGAGCATGGGCAGGCAGGCGGGCCCTCTGGAGCACCATACCGGAATGGTAACCAGTGCTCCGGGCAGGCACCAGTACGCCCGTACCCGGGCATACTGCCTGCAATCCACCACTTAGTAGTTTATTTGAGTCTTGATGCATTTGAAATTTGAAGTTGGAGAAAACTCCTGAAACTACTATGAAAGTAGACCAAAGGATTATTAAGCAAATGAACCCCGGGTTCCCAAGATTTAAATGGTCAGGCTCTAATTAACCTATGTTGGATACATTATGCAAAGACTCAGGTCTTGTTGGATGAGATAAGAATTTTAAGTGTGATTACTCTATCTTCTCATTGTCACAAGTGCCATTTGTTTTACTTTGGGCATAAGCATGTGAGTTGGAATAACCTTTTAACAAGGTTAGAAAAAAAGCAGGTATGGATTTACTACTATGCTTATTTTTATTTACAGTCTCTTTTGAGAAAATTTTATTTATTGGAGGAAAGTTGTTTCATTAAATTAATAGTATAACCACAAAAGGTGATATGAGCATGCAGATCATAAAGATAAAGAAATGTCTTTTTGTCATGGCATCTGCCTTTAGAATTACACCCCCCCCCCACTTGAGCCATCCCGATTCTCAGAAAGCTATTAAAAACTGAGATTTTCCCCTTAGGTTTGGAATAAGGTTAAAGTTGAGCCCCTGCTGGGTGGGAGTTGGGTGTGAATTGGTTATATGTTGGAGACATGCAAACCTAATTCTTTACTGCCACTTAGTACTTAATAGATTAAACACTTGACTCATAATACCAAGAGAGAAGGAGAAAGGAAAAGGGAAGAGCAAGGAGAAAGGGAAGAAACTTTAGTTGAGAGTATGGGGAGGAAAATAATAGCACAGTACATGGCACAACCAGACTATTATGCATGCCAACAGAAGGAGAGATGCCCTAAGGATGGAATTTTGCATAGAATTCTGTTCTGACCCCCTCCTCCATCCAATAACGAACGCCGAGACAAGCTTAATTAGAATGTCCTTTAATAACAAGNTTTTTGTTGCTCCATATAAAATTTTTAATCAAGCGCCCCCCCTCCCGGGTCAATGGTGTCCCTCTTTACCAATCTGAAAATCTGGTCACCTTACTTAACTCCCCAGAAAACTGAGGAACCACCACCACCATCATCACCACCTAAGCCCTCTCTGCACCCAGGACCAAGCTGGATCCCAAAAAGTATAACATCCCTCCTTTCCAGTCACCGCTGCCCATTGGCCTGATTCCTCAATGCAATTTGCAGAGCTGCTTGCGCTCATGAAAACCTGGGGTGTGTGTGTGGTTTTGGCAGGTTTCAAGTGACACCCTAACTGCTGCTATCGCTGATATCCCGGCATGCAGAGACCGAAAAAGCGATGTCTATTTTTGGCAAACCCCATAACCTGAAACTGTGTTTTTCAGGCAGTTTTCCACTTTTTTGGCCTCTGCCCAAATTGAGGAGGAAAATGTTTTCATGCGACAGTGCTGCAACCCCTTCCCCAAATAAAAAAACGAGGTGTACAACCAGAGTTGCCACCTGAAAATGTTTTCCTCCCAGGTTTCCCATTGCACATCACAGAGCTGCGTGCCCTCCTCCTCCTTCTCCACAGACTCACCTCTTTCTTCCTGGAAAGG